TTAGGGCTTAGGGTCTAGGGGCTTAGGGTTCCCTTCTTACTAGGGTTTAGGATTAGGGGTTAGCGTTTAAGGGTTAGGGCACAAGAGGGAGAAGCTCGACTTGCACTATGGCTTACATAGTAGCCCTAGGTACGGATACACATGTATACAAAAATACATATATACATATATGCATATATACACATATATACATACAGGCATATACATATATACATATCCACATATGTGTATATATATATATATATATATATGTAGTTATTGTCATTCACATATGTCTGTATGTATATATATATATATATACATAAACGTAGATGTACATGTACATATATATATATACACATATTTAACTGGGTGTGTGTGTATATATATATGGAAAGAGATAGATAGGATAGGATAGGCAAGGATAGAGGATAGGGTAGGACAGGATGGGATGCTGCTGCTGCTGCTGCTGCTGCTGCTGCTGCTGCTGCTGCTGGTGCAGATGCTGTAGCTGTTGCCGTTGATGTGGTTGTTGTCATTGTTGTGGTTGTTGTTGTTGCTGGTGCTGCGTTTGTTGTTGTGGCTGAAATTGATTCGTGCTTCAGCCTTCAGAACACGGGTTTGCGACTTCCGCGGTGATGGCCTGGCATGTAAGGCGCAAATGATGTCACACGCCCATGCCCTGTCGCACCTCCACGCCGTCGCGGGTTAGGCCGCACACGCACGGGCAGCTGCGACTGGGAGGCTCGGCTGAGGTTTTGGCCACTCTCTCACGTCTACTCGAGTCGAAGGATGTAGAGATTTAGAAAAGCATGTAGGGTCTTCTCAAAACACCAGCAGCAAGGTACCTAGAACGCCATACACATGAAACTGCTCTGAACCCTTAGGCCGGAGTCACGAGAGAAATCGAGGCAGCCCTCTGGCATGGATATCCCCTCGCAGTGCACTTCTGTCCAGGAAGCCTGACTGAAGCCAAACCTCTTCGACCCGAAGAGGTGCTCCGGTAGCTTCAAGCCGGGGAATGAGCGTCCAAGTTCAAGTGGTTTACAAGTCACACTACACCTTCAGCTGAAACTCTGGCTGACTTTGCTGGGAGGTGTGCTACAACAGTGCGACAGAGCAGCAATGCCAGAAGTCATGTCCGCACCAGCCAAGCCTGCACAGACGGATTGGAACCCCGAAGTGGAAACACCCGAAACCCTAATCAAACCGTAAACCCATCCTTCCTGAACCACAAACCAGCTTGGCATTCCAAGACGAGTACTTCCGGGCCGCAGTGAGAGCCTAGAGCTTTGCGCTTCGATTTTAGTGGTCGAGTCGAACTGCTCAAAGCACTTGGTGATGCAGACGTGGGTTTAGGATTTGGTAGGGTTTCTATATGGGTTCTATAGGGGTTTGAAAAGGTGCAGTGGGGCTTTCTCTCCGCAGAAACAGGAGTAAGTCTCGACCGTAAAGGCCTGCACCAAAACAAACCCTCTCTCACTCAGAACCCTAAACCCTAACAAACCCTAAATTCCTGAATCCTAAACCAAAACACCCTACAGAAACCCTCTCTCACACCCTAACCAACCCTAAAACCCTGAATCCTAAACCCTAAAGAAACCCTCTCTCACTCAAACCATGTTCAGAACTTTTGTGACATCCATGGAGGCCCCAAGGACCAGCTGAGATTGCATACTGTTGATGATACAAATCCTGCATTACCTTAAGGACCCTAAACTATGGGGTTTAGGGTTAGGGTTTAGGGTTTTAGGGTTTAGGGTTTATTTAGCATTACCTTAAGGACCCTAAACTATGGGAATTATGGTATATTCCTTTTCAAGGGTAATGCAGGACTTATATCATCAACCGTAGTATTGCTCTTTATATTCTAGGGTTCAGGCTTTATACCCAGAGAGCCCAAATACCCCTCAATTCAGGAATTAACTTTAAACCATAATAGTAAGGCCCCTATATTTTGAGGTATATATTCCTTATTTCAAGGGTATTGAGCTCTCTGGGTAGGGTTTGAAGAAGCCCTTTATGTAGGGTTTTCGGTGCTTGTGGTTGGTTTGTTCTTGCGAAAGGGTTTGACTGGGAGTTCTTTTTCGTCGGCTTGATGCGGGCGCCGCAAATCGATGGGAGAATCGGTGGCGAAGGTGGACGGGGAACCAAACAAGCCCTGCAACAGTAGGGAGCAGAAGGCCACTCCCCGAAAAGATTATTACTGTAGTCCTTCCCCCAAAGGGTCTAAGTACTTGTATGGCAACAGTAGGGAGCAGAAGGCCACTCCCCGAAAAGATTATTACTGTAGTCCTTCCCCCAAAACGTCTAAGTACTTGTATGGTAGATACTTTGGGGCCCAAAATATCTACTATATGGGTACTAAGACCCTTTGGGTACTGCCTCGAACCCATGTTGGTTCCGCTTTGGTGAAACGAGCTATGTCCTGTCCCCAGGGGTTTCGGCCCTCAGAGAGCCTTGAAGGATTCCGCTTCGTGCTGTCAGACCCACTGAAATGAAGGCCTTACGACTAATATAGGGGCCGTAATAATTAGGTTTTTGGGGGTTCCTTAGTATAAATATAATTTTCCCCAAACCCTCTTCTGATTCTTAAGGCCCCTATTTTACACATCCAGGTGCAAGTTCAGGCTTCAAGGCTTGAAGCCTAGCTGGGTCATGTAGTTACTACAACTCGACACATAAATCCACTAACAGGAAAACTCAACTTCCGCAATACTACTACGTGGCTTAAGCTTTAAAGCTTCGGGCTCTCTATTTTTGGGCATTGGGGCTTGGATTTCAGCTCTCTAGCCCTGCGGCCAGGATGTCTGCAGGCTACCAAATGCTGCGGGGCTCTTTGCCCGGCACGATGGAGACGTTCTCATACGTGATCATCCTCAGCTGAAGCCCGAAGCCCCTAAACCCCTCAACCCCTACGCCTCTAGACCCTAAACCCTTAACCTTCAAACCCTAAACCCTAAACTTTAATCCCTAAGCCCTAAAACCTCCAACCCTAAACCCTAAACTTTACTCCCTAAACCCTAAACCCCCACACCCTGAACCCTAAACCCCTGATTTATATCATCAACAGTAGGTACATGGTTCCGGTAAGCCAGGAAGGAGGTCTGGGCGGAGGACTTCGAAGGAAGATCAGCGGACCGAGGGCCTATTGGCTTTAGGGGGTTTAGGGTTTAGGGATTTAGGGGTTTGGGGTTTAGGGGTTTAGGGGTTTAGGGTTTGGAGTTTAGGGGTTTCGGGGTTTCGGGGGCTTAGGCTGATTCAGCATTTCTGCTGGCATTCCCGCGCCAAAATGCTTCGGGGCTTAGTTTTCTTCGCAGTGGCCCTCAAACCCAAACCCAAAACTCTACAAACACTAGACCCTGTAAGCCCTCCCTAAACCCCAAACCCTAGAGACCCTAAGCCCTGACCCTAAATCCTTACCTTCTCCTCCTCTCAGCCTAGCCGCGCCCCCTTTGAGAGCCGCGAGGTACGGAGGACCTGCCTTTTCATCCCAGGGTTCCAAACCTTGAGCAGGTCTAGGGTAATGTCGGGGCCATAATAATTAGAATACGGTTTTGGGGTATAATCCAAACCTTGAGCAGGTCTAGGCAGTCTAGGGTAATGTAGGGCCTTAATAGTTAGAAAAGGGTTTTGGAGTATAATGCTTTCATTATAAGGAGCGCCGAAAATAGTGTAGGTAAATATTAAGCCCCCTATATTAGGTGCATTTTCGTTTTTGTGTATTTTCGGTTTTGGTTACGGCTTCGGGTTTGACAACTGTTAATGTGTTTTTAGTTTTGGGGGCTTAGGGCTTAGGGCTTAACGCTTTGAGGGTTTAGGGTTTAGGCTAAACTCCCATAACCTACAGTTTTTGTAAGTTCCAATGCTAAACCCTGTACTGTGGCAGTGACAGGGACCCTAGAAAACGTAGCGTATGGTAGTACAAGGTAGGGCTCCTGGGTGTTTAGGGTTCATGGTTGTGGGTTGTATGGCTTACGGTTCGGATTTGTCAAGCTTTCTGGTTCCTCTAAAGGGCTCCTTGCAGTGATTCTGCAGGGTTGAAGAAAGGGGGTCGTAGGGCTCGAGATTTCAACTTCGGAACTCCGAAGATGCGACAAGGCCTTAAGGCTTTAACACAGGGGCCTCAATAATTAGAACAGGGTTTTGGGGGGTAGAGTGTGCTATAACTACACAAGGAAGCCCCCAAGGTAGTTTCGGCAAACAATTTAGGTCAACTCGGGGTCTGATTCAGGGTTAGTCCTTGGCCAGAGGGGAGGAAGACACAACGCAGTGTTGAAATCGAACCCGAGCACAGTTTCCACTGGAGCTATGTAGTGAAAACCCGGGTGGGATCCCGTCATGAGGACCGAAGACAGGGACTACCGCAGTTGGAGGTTCATGCAACCCCCAGCTTGAAAGCCCTGCATCCCACTAGATTTCGAGCTACGTAACACAGCTGCAAGGCATCTGTACCTGAAGAGGTTGGGGTTCCGGACCTACTTCGAACCTTATAAAGGCCGGCCCTCAGACAGCCCCAACTCTGGAGGGCCTGGCTAGAATCCCAATGGCCCCTAGAACCAGAGTGCGAATGATACTTTCACAGCCCTCTTTGGAGTCCTACTCCAAGAAGAACCAAGCATAGTCACAAGAGCACTGATATAGGGGCCTTAGTAATTAGAATAGGGTTTGGGGGTATATTGCAGTATAACTATAATGAGGAACCCCAACATAATACTAGTAATTATTCAGGCCCCTTTTTCAATTCCACGAGCACCAAAGGAATCCCACAACCCTCCGACCAGGCCTTTAGCAGCTCCTCCACCTCGCTGTCGCGCCTTATCCAAGGTGCAGGTGGAAGGCCGACCAGATTGTCGTGAGTATAATATAGCATACCTACAGTCTCCATTGTAGTTCCTTTTTGGGGATACCTTATAAAGTCCTTAATATATATTTGGTTAAACCCAAAAAGGAACTACCATGGAGACTATAGGTAATATCGTAGAATGAATAGGTATAACATGTATAGATTAAGGTATAACACGGTATCGCTAATCAAATCTGACTGATTTGTCTGAGCCCTGCTTCCACAGCTTACAAGTGATTAGGGTTCTACTCATCCGAAGCAAAGATTGAAGCATTGCCGGAGACGTTTGAACCCCTGAAACGAAATAATGATACAAACCAAGAAGAATTCCGAAGATCTCTTCGGCCGAATGATCTATCATGCTAGAGCTTCTTAGCATGCTTCGTGCGGAGGATCTCCACTTCTTAGTCACCACGGCCAGGGGTTCCTGGATCATTTAGTCTCCTTACTTGTCCAGTAGTCTAGGGCAACTGGAGCTTAACCTTTGGGGCTACATCGGGGCTAGAGTACATCAAAAAAAGTTTCAGGTTACCTACTCTACAACTAAGTTAAGGCCCATGCATGAAAAGCCCTAAACCCTAAACCCTAAACCCTTAGAGTAGCTTTCTAGTAATCCTTTAAAGGAAACCTCGTCTTTGCCTCGTCATAAGGCATAGTCCTCTTTAGAAGACTCAGATCTCAGGCCTTCTTCACTGAGTGGCTGAGTACGCCAAACTTCTTCCGAAGCACAAAAACCCTTAGACAACAATCCTTAATTGGGGGTTTCCGAAAATAGGGGACCCTAACATAGTACCCTAAATAGTAGGACCCTTATTACAAGGACCCCAAAATAAGGTACCCTAATTTTTGGAAACCCCCAATTCGGTGCGCTTGGCTAGTGCTGAACAGGCCACATGGTGTCACCCTTACCCGCTGGCTCCAGCACGAGCCTCAAGGAGAAAGAAGGATTCAAGTTCTCAACCCAACGTTTCCGCAACGAAGACCTTTTGGTCAATGCAGCTTTTGATTGTTGTTCGTTATAGCTCGTGTTTCTTGGTCGTCATGATGTTGGATTTTGGGTTGCTGGTTGTGTGTTGCGCGTTCGCTTCCGGCTTCTCAGTCCAATCAACAACAACACCAAACAACGAGCAAAAGAACTGTACGTCACGGTTACTCTCCGTTTCCATGTGATAAGCCGGGGGGCCTACTGTCCCAGTTTATTCTCGTTAGTAGTTGCTCGCCCCCACCTCCTCGAAGCACTTCGACAGCACGAACATCTCCGAAGATCATGGGCAGTATGAACCATGCGACACAGCACACCACTCATGCGCAAAACACCCCCATGATTGTCGCTGCCATCATCAAGGCTGCCATGGTCAACAACATCACAACCAACGCCCTTGCAGTCACCAATACCATCAGTTTTTTGTTCATAAAGGTCGCCGTCGCTATGACCGTCGACATTGATCCTCGTCACCGCCAGTCGCCCTCACAGTCATAGTGATGGATCAACCGCGGTTGCAGCAGCAACACCAACAGCAACACAAGCATACTCGCAACCATTCGCATGAGCCTCATCGGCCATCAAGCAGCACCGCTGCCAGAACGCCCAATCCCAAAGCCTGAAAACTCCCTAAACTATATAACCCTAAACAGGCCCTAAACTATCATAACTAGGAGCCGGCCTCACCGCCTTCAGCAGCTCGTCGCGTGGCGTGGCACCACGTCGGAGCAAGCCACCGTTTTCCTGTGCAGCAGGGGTTCCCAAACTCTCCAAACTTGAAGCCGTATAGAGGTCTGAAAACCACTAAATGAATTTCTCGTTGTAGTCCTCGGAGAAATCTTTACGAACATGTAGGCTCCCTAACCCCGAAACCTCCAGAACCCCCAAACCCCTAAACCCCTGAACCCCCTAAACCACAAAACACCTATACCCCCAAACCCCTATGCTAATGTGGAAGCCGTAATAGTGCTGCTAGCAGTCCCCAAAGCCATCAAACAGGGCAATATCGACTTGCAGACTACCGTGGTGGAACACGAGAACTCTGGCCAGAAAGCATTAATCCTACGCCTTAGGATGCACAGGATGCACTTGAAAGGCAAAAGAAACCGACAGAAAGGCACAAAAGGGAAATTACAATAGATCGAAATCAGACCTCTCTGTATCCTTGACATCGGTTCCCTCAGCAAAGCGATACGACCTCTTTCACTTTTCTCTCGGGCACAAAGCTAGACCACGAAGCAGGCGCACAACAACTTGCCCCTATACAAGTAAGTAGTAGCATCATGGCTGCCGAAAGGTCTGGCGTGTAAAACAGCATGGCAGACCCCAAAGCATGACCAAGACCGGCTAAAATCTACGGCAAACCAAGGTTGAGCCTTGACAGCACAGAGTTGACGACCCGCTCCTAGAAAATGATACTTCTCTAAACCTATGACAAAGCTCTTTTCCTGGTCTCAAACTAGTAGATAGTACCTCACAGACATAATCGGGACCCCAAGAGGGACCACAACCTAGAGAACCCCCCAAACCTCTTTCACTGCAACTCTCAGCACCCGGCGGCCCATAGCCGTAGGCGGTCAAGCCTCTCGCGCCGCGTCGCTGCGGCGTCCGCACTGCGGGGCGGAGACAGGCCTGGCATGTCTTTACTTTATAGTTGTGGTGAAGCTATTATTTACTTGCTCTCGCCATGAAGAAACCAGTGTGGGAGGAGGCGGACAAGGCGGAATAGCAGCAGCAGCAGCAAAGGAGCAGTTGTAGTGGAGATTCGTGGCATGATTGTCGTTGCGGTTCCTGTGGCGCCACCACCACCACCTCCACGACGAGGAAGGCAAGTTTCCCGGACCCTTGCGGCACTGTCAGTTCTAAGACCATACGCACTAATCCACAACCTACAAACCCTATAAGCCCAAACCCTAAACGGCCCTGAGCCCAAGGAGCACCTGTAACACGGAAGCCTGAAGAATGTAGGGCCCTAAATAATTACCAATACTATTTTGGGGGGCTCCGCATTCTAATTTTAGTATAATGGGCCCCAAAACCCTATTCTAATCATGGAGGCCCCTATATTAAGCACCAATACTATTCTTTAGGCTTTCTACTCGAAACTATGGGAATGATACACCCGAAAGCCCTGTTCGAAACATGACGGCATCAGGAGCCCTACTCTAAAGGTCAGTGCCCCTGCCTTTTTTAAGGCAAGCCCTGCACGTCCTTCCAAAGAGGCCTCCGCGACTCGGCAAGACGATGTCAAGTACGACCTGGGTATGTATACATATGCATGTATGTATATATACATATATATATATATGTTACAATACAAGATGAAAAATCATGTAAAGATAACATCTAATGTATAGATAACTTATAATGTACTGTCCAACAAAATATACGATATCATAATTGTCTGGTTTGGGGGCCGCTTAGGGTTGCAGGGCTTTAGGCTTTAGGGTCTCAGAGGCTCGGGTTTCGGGGTCTTGGCTTTTTGTGGTATACGGTTCTACGGCTTCGGCGTTAGGGCTTCGCGGCTTCGGGTTTTTGGGCTAGAGCTTTTGGAGGGGAGGGACTGTAACGGTGCTCTACCTAAAGAGATGAGGGATTGGGCTTTGTTTCGGGTCCAGGGCGGTTTGTGGAGATTGGGGCTTAAGGGGTGGACCTTAGACCCCCTCCACTTCGCGAGCCGCTGTTGTTACTTGGAGCGGTTGAGACTCTGCATATGGGAACCACATGTTTATCAACAAAGCCATGGATGAAATAGACGTTCTCCTGCGAGGGAAGCAATAACCCGACAACAAGCTACACTGATACCAGGTGCCGAGCGAAGAAGACTTGACATATGTCAGACGACGGCACAGTTGCTTCCTCTGGGCGGTCATTTTATGGCTCATCGCGCAGCGCATGAAAGATGAGGTGTCGTGAATTTTCGAAGTCAGAGAACCTGAAGCCCAAGGAGAGTCAAGATGAACCCCATCCTGCCGGCAGACCAGGAAACACCCCCACCTTAGAGCCCCTAAGAGGGACTGTGAAGTCAATGTTCGCAGAGGGTCTGCACATGTAGAACTCCGATTGACAAACCCTTTTTCTTGAAGGCCATTATAACCCGCTATTTAAGGCAGGGGAGTTTATGAATCAGGGGTCTGCGACATCTTTCTTGCGGAGTGTCTCAGCTTAAGTTCAAAGTTCTACTACGGAACCCTAGGGAACAGCACTACTAATATTCAGGTCCATATACAAGTTACTTGCGAGTAATTGCATGTAGGATTGAGGGTGGGTAGGGGATTCGTGACTTACAGTACAGAGGCTTGCATAGGGCGTTTCGGGTGCGTGAAGCCAAGGCGCAGCATAGCTGGCGAAGAAGAAGGACCACGTGGCAGCATCTGCCTCAAGGGAAGGAGTTCCCCCGAACCCCAAAATCCGAAAATTGGGGCGGCTTAGGGCTTAGTCGGTCTAGGGACTCGGACCTCTGAAACCCGGAACCCTAAACCCCACGAGCCCTAAACCCTACGAACCCGGAAACCCATGAAGCCAAACCTGAAGCTTCCGTCGGCAAAGCAAGCCCCACAGGAGTCGCAAAGGTAGGTGCAGGTAGATAGATAGCTGGGTAAGCCAGCAACACATAAAGCGCTCAAACTTCCTGACAGCCTCAAACCCTCACAACCCTGTTCAGCTTTTTTAAGATCGTTTCCACAGGGCTTGTCCAAAGCTATCCTGAATTGACAACGGAGTGGCCGATAAAGTAAGAGCGAAACACGCCCCAGCACAAAGCAATCGATAAATCAGTCGAAGGCACTGAACTGCCCAGGGACAAAGCGAGAGCTCTTGCGAAGAACAGTGCCAAAAGAGACCTGAGCATCGGCTATCACGGTTTAAGGGGGACTCCTGCAAGCTGCTCTGCAAGACTAAACTGCCTAAACCAATGCTGCAGGCCGACAATCTTGCAATAAAGTCCCTCAGCCCCTGTTACTAAACCTACCCGACACTGGCGCGGGCTTCTGGGAACTGGACCACAATGCCAGCGCCAGGGCAAATCCTAGCCGCCTTGGCTCAAGGAAAGCGAACAGTAGTAATAGAAGAGTGATTGCCATTGCGACGACGACTCGCTCCTACTACTTCGACGACGACGACGACGACGACGACTACTACTACTACTGCTACTACTACTACTACTACTACTACTACTACTACGACGGGATTTAGCACTAGTATTAGTACAACAAGCACTACAGGTACTAGAAGTGCTACTTCTAGGACTACACGTACGACGAGTGCTATACTGATAATAGTAGCAATAATGATGATAACAGATCTAGTATCTAGTACTAGTACTGGCACTAGTGCTAGTACTAGCACTGGTGCCAGTAATAGCATCAGTCTCCCATCCAACTCGGGATTAGCAGTCGGTAAATGCAGGGATTTAGGCTTTGGGGATTGGATCGCGGCTAACAAGAGATTTCAAGATTCGAGTGTTGGCGTGCAGGTGTTCGATTCAACATTTGGGAAGGTAGGCCTAATTAATCTTATGGTGGCTGCTATATAGGTACACACATGGATCCTGCAGATGTCGTACCTCTAAATCAGCCGCAGGCACTGCAGATCCTCCGGGACAAGGCCACTCACCGTGAGCCCAAGCACCGCACGCAAGTCCTCTCCTGTGGTTGACGAGGGTCTTGGGTCTTGAGGCCTACGAGTTTAACAAGCTGACTCAATCAGACGGATTTCAGGCGGGATCAGAGTTATTTCACCTTAGAGAGCCTGTGTAATGCTGCTTGACGCCCCACGATTCGTTGGAGCAGCCGTGCCACGCAAGGCGGCCAAAGTGGAAAGGTAAACCGTAGACTCCAAGTATACAGGTCGTAGGGCGGCTCAACTAAGGAAGCCGTCTTATGATTAAACCAGTAGACTCAGTAGTCCTTCAATGTGGGATGAGAGAATGCTAAAGCCCCCTCTGTCAACCCCGCAGCTATCAGTCCTTAGAACCCCTAAACTCCAAACCCTGAACCCTCCAACTTCACACTCCCCTGTCCTCTAAACCTCCGGATAACTTAAAACCCCACTCTTGAAAGGGAGCAGCTACTCGGAACAACTCAGCCCTTACCCCCTACAAAACCGAGAAAAACACACCACCCCGAACCGACATTGGAACGCAGCCTTTGCAGGCGCAATCGTAATGTAGGGACCTTCATAATTCGAATAGGGTTTTGGGGCCCACTCTACTATAATTATACTAAGGATCCATAAGAAAAAGTATGGGTAGTTATTTAGGCCCCGGTTGCAGGTTCCATCCTGAGGCCGAGAACACCCCCAAACCTCAAATCAGCCGTAATCCCAAAAGTTCTAAGATTTGCGGAGGGTCTGCCTTACCCGGAACACCTGGGAAACAAAACTCCTTCAAAGGGAATCCTCAACTCCAAAACCTTAAACCCCGAATCTGCAAGCAACTTTCATTCCCCTAAACCCTAAACCCCTCAAGCCCTAAAGCGCGCCATCCTGCAGCCAGCCACCGGCGTCGGAGCACCGCCGAAGGGGCGAGGTCGCCACCGGTTCCGGACGGCTGCACCCTTGAGACTTCAGAGGTCTTAAGCAGGGTTCCGACAAAAAGGTTTTAGGGTTTAGGGATGGGTTTGGGGTTCAGGGGCTTGGGTTTGGAGTTTAGGGATGGGTTTGGGGTTCAGGGTTTAGGGATGAGTTTGGGGTTCAGGGCTTGGGGTTTAGAGTTCAGGGATGGGTTTGGAGTTCAGGGTTTAGGGTAGTACCCTTCAAAGTGTTCGTAAGTATTGTTGTTAATGCCCCGGGTCCTAAACCTTCGCCCGAAAGCGCGGAATCCTCAACCTCAAAGACCCGGCAGAATTTTCGGTGGAGCCTCGGGTTTGAGTGAACACTGCGTGACGCTCTGCACCCTAAACCCCTAAACCCTAAACACCTCAAAGAATAGGGTTTTGGGGTGTAATATACTTATAATAAGGAGCCCCCAAAAAAGTATAGATAATGATTAAGGCCCCTGTATAGGCCCGAAACCCTGTGCTTCAACAGAAGATGAAGATGATGCAGGCAGGCAGCGGCGCGGAGACGTCCCAGGCCTGCGCGACAGCCTTGCCACGGCGCGACTCTGTGATTTAGGTCCGGGGTTTTAGGGCTTACGGTTTAGGGTTTATAGGGTTTAGGCTGTAGGGCCGGTCCAAGTTTTTCGTGTCAGGGTCTCCTCCCAAGTGGTTGAGACGTTGGAGTTTTTGGAGGGTGCCATAGAGTGCCATAGAGCTGTTGGGGAGTGTAATCTGGTTTTACAAAGTGGCTTCGTCGCAGTTCCATTTCTTGAGGGTATATCTTGATTGTGCCACGGGATCCCAGCCAATAAACGACGGTTAATCAATGCAAAGAACAACAATGGAGACCAGACGTATAAAGGCCTGACGACTGGCAAACCCTCGCATCTTTATTTGCAGGTGCAAGATTAAGTTACTACTATGCCGCCCCCTTCAATCAACTCTCCAGATGCGGCCCACAGGTGATAGGATCGACGAAGACTTGAAGAAGGTAGTCTAGGGGCAAGAGTACATAACTATCATATAACCCCCCTTGTCCAAAAGAACACTAACCTACGTAGGTACAACATCTCATGCAAAACCGCCAGCCGAGAACACCGAACCTTTCAGCGGCTGGATGGCAAAAACCCTGTTTCGTGAGCAGCCTCGCGTGCTGCGGCGTCAGCGCCCGCCTCCTCGACGGCAGCTGCACCTGCCTGGCGAAGTCACGGAGGCTTCTCTAGGCGGTTATGGAGGGGGCCTGATGGGATGTAGAACAGGCTCTTGGAAGGATTGCCATGTTTGCATCGTATTGGCCTTAAGAATTCTTCTAACCTGGACCTTGCGCGAGGGGGCCGTGTTGGGTTGTGCTCGCACTTCTGAACCCGGCTTCTACACCGCAAGGCCTGCACTAGGACATTGCCTTTTGGAGAAGTCTGCCACATGATCAGCTGGCATGCTGTGTAAGCACCGCTTTCGGCAGCTGTCTTACAGCCTGACTTAGAGTGGTGCTGTGGCTGCCAAGATCGCAGATCCTGTGTGCGTCGGCCTCTACGACGAAGTAAAATGTTGGCTGAAACGGCTCAAGCAGCAGACAACGCAGTCAGCTGGATACAGTTGCGCCTTCGGAAGAATTTTGGACTGAATACGACAATGATTGTATGATTACTAATCATTATGAGAACTTTAAAATCACCCAAGCCTTACACACATGTTAGCGGCTTTGGCGTTGCCAGGCGGCCTTGATGGCAGTGGGACCCAGATCTGTTGAGCGCGGCTCCTGCACGTAGGCTCCAATGGCAACCGAAGACCGTGACAGGTAAGTAAGAAATGGATGAACCACTGGGCAAAGAAATCAACATGTGTAAACATGGAGTGTGTTGTTTGTATGCACAGACACATGCATACATGCATCCATCCCTGCATGAATATATGCAGGCGAATCGATAACATGTACCGCAGAACTATGCGCAAATGAGTTTGCAAAAGCCGATGAAAGACTGTTTAAACAGCAGATGAGGCAAAACCATCTCGAAAAGGTAAGTTAAGCACGTATACCTATAAATACGCTAAATACATATGACTTTGTATGTATGTATCTGTAGAGACGTATATGCTGTATATACATATAAATACTTATGCGATCATATGTGTGTACAGATGATTATACGACCACAAGCCACGATGTGCGAACCACCCTGGTGTTACTTCATGTGTTGGGCGATTGCTGCGACTACTGCGTGTTTGTTAGGTCCGGGTGAACGCTGCAACCCTACACACTGATTCCAAAATCTAAAACCTGAGGAGTAGGATACTTTGCAAACAAACCCCATCTACCTCAGTGTTGCTTATTAAAAATCGGGTTCCCTGTGCTTGCCACAGCCCCGAAAACCTAATTAAATTCCATTAATGCCCGGAAACCCTGAACCCTAAATACGCTAGAACCCTAAACCGTCAAGATCCTAAACCCTACTAAACCCCAAATACCCTGAAACCCTAAACGCTACTAAACCCTAAAGCCACAGCCCTTGACCCGCCCCAGCACCTGGTTGGCAGCCTCGCGCGCCATGGTTTTGGCCAGCTCTGGCGGAGGCGGCGTTCCTCGGAGGCCGGACGCGGGGGGGAGGGGGGGGGTTTAGGGTTTAGGGTTTAGGGTTTAGGGAGGGAACACTTATAAGAAGTGGGGTTCAAAGTGCTCCTGTGGGGTTCTTAAAGGCCTGTTACAGGGTCGCTATCAGGGTTTAGAGGGCTCGTATGGGGCTCAAATTCGGGTTCTTGCGGGGTGCTTGGGTTTTGTAGGTCTTGTGCGAAAAGCGTGAGGTAGACTACAGGTAGACTAGGGCTTTGGAGAAGTCTATACTATTTGCTACTATTTGCATCTTCAGGAACCTTGAGGAATAGTACTGCGCATCATTCAGCCCCCCCATTTTTGAGACTCGAGTTTTGAAAACACCCATCATCTCAACAAGACGCAACCAGGATAAATTCCAGAATCGAAACTCTAAACACCCCTTGCTAATCCTCCAAACCCCAAGCTTTAAACCCCAGAGCGGAGACAGAAAAGGAACCGAGAGCTCCCGGCTTCGGATTGCGGTTTCGGCTGGGGGCTTTAGACTTTGGGCTTTGAGCCTTCGGGTTCCTTTAGATCGCGAGCGTCCACCTGCCTTGTGATTTACCATGGTTTAGGGTTAAGGGGTTTTAGGGTTTAGGGTTTCGGAGTTTAGGGTTTAGGGTCTTTAGGGGGTTTTAGGGTTTAGGGGTTTCGGGGTTTAGGGTTTAGGGTCTTTAGGGGGTTTTAGGGTTTAGGGGTTTAGGGTTGCGGTTGCAGCAAAAATGGTAAAGGCCCCAAGCTGTGTCAACTGTCCAAAGCCCTTTGGAACAATGACACTGTAACCTGGCGAGCCCTCACAACCTTCGAGTTCATGTTGCAGAATCAACATGTGGATTTAAGATGTAAGCAAAAGACAAACAAATAGATGTATACATATTTATATATAGTAAATCGTCATCTCCTGTCACGCATTGAAGTACCAGGTGCCTTGGCACAGTACCACCGGTGTATATAGCAGCACAGGGTAGAAAGACTAAAGATTAGAATCCCTCAACCCTCAATCCCTAAAACACCTACCCTAAACCCTTGTAAACACTACCCCTAAACCCGAAACCCTGAAACCCCACACCCCCAAATCCCTCAGACCATAGACCTTCTGTGCTCTAATTTCACTTGCAGCAACAAGACCCTTCTTTGACCCCTTATAGTAACCCGTAGCTTCAGGATTTCAGTCCTGAAACCTGAACCCCCAAACCCCAAGAAACCCCCTGGATCCTAAACCCCGGAACTTGAAACCCTGAGCACTATAATCATGAGCCCTAGAAGTCTTATATAAGCCCTAAACTCTATAACCCCTCACCCCTAAACCCTAAACCCTGCAAACCCCGGACCGTAAACCCTAGAAGTTCTAGAAACCCCCAAACCCTAAACCCTGAACCCTCCAAGCTAGAAGGCACTATAAGCCCTAGGGGCCTCTATACATCCCTTGTAGATCCCTTATAAGCCCCATATACATCCACTATAGATACTATAGATCGCTTTAAGAAGCCCATAACCCCTACAACCCCCCCTACAAAGCCCTCTATGACCCCCTTTGTAAGGCCCCATACGGCCCTATAATGAGCCCAAAACCCTAAACCCCTAAACCACTAACCTCCTAAACGCTATAACCCCCTACAACCCCTTTTTAAGGCCCCCCAAAGGCCCTGTAACCCCTTTTTTAAAGACCCTGTAAGGGCCCTCTAACCCCTTTTTAAAGCCCTAGAAGAAGCCCTTTTTTCCCTAAACCCTAAACCCTAAACCCTGAACCCTAAAACCCTAAACCCTAAACCCTAAACCCTAAAACCCTAAACCCTGAACCGTTTTTGTGCGGGCTGCGTTTTCAAGGGTCTATAAGGCCCTATGACCCTTTTTTTAAAGGCCCTATACCCCTTTTTTAAAGGCCCTATAACCCTTTTTTAAAGGCCCTATGATAAGCCCGTTTTTGGTCCGGGCTGCGCAGGGAGGGCTTCTTGCGGCCATACCAGCTCCAGGGGCCTTCGGCGACGCCATCCTGGGGAGCACGGACACCAAAGGGGGCTCCCAGGGTTTAGGGTTTAGGGTCTCTACGGTTTAGGGTCTATACGGTTTAGGGTTTAGGGTTCAGAGTTCAGGGTTTAAGGTTTAGGGTTTAGGGTTTAGGGCTTATCGGGTTTGGGGTTTAGGGTTTTAAGCGGCTGTTTTAAGGGCTCGTTTCAAGGGGGCTCCTTTAGAGGTTCCTTTAAGGGAAGCTGGGTTTTGGGTTTGGGGGGGATACTTTGAGGGCTTAGGGTGTAGGGTTTAGGGTTTAGGGGGCTTGCTCTTAAAGGATACTTTAAGGGATCCTTTGAGGGCAGGAGCCCTCTTTTTGAGAAGCCCGATCAAGGGATTTAAGGTTTTAGGGATGAGGTTTAGGGAAGGCTGCAGTGGATAAGATTTTACAAGACCCCTACAAAGCACCAAAAAGCCTTAGAACACACGCCAAAATCGCGCGCAATCCTCTGAACGAAACAATGTTAAAGGCGCTAGCTGCCTTTCCCAAACCTTCTAAAACCCTTTGATGGAGCCCTTTATGAAACGCTGCAAAGAGCCCTTTTGTGGAACCCCATATTAAGACACCTTCTTCTACTTGATAAATCCCGTTCTTGCTTCTCTGAAATTTCTTTACAGAACCTCTGAAGAGAGCCCGTATAGAACCCTTCTATGGAGCCTTTTTAACCATCTCTTTTTCAGGTCCTGGCGCCAGTTTCCGGCAATGAAATTCCCCTCCCTGCTCCTGGGATCTTCTGGGGGCATTGCATTCTCCTTTAAGTTTAGCTTGGGCTGCTTAAGGGCCTTTCTGGGGCATCTGACTCGGATAAGGGTTTGGGGGTTTAGAGTTGAGCGGTCGAAGAATTCGGTTTAAAGGCTTAAAGGTGTTTAACGGTTTAGGGGTTTAGACTTTAGGGGCTCGGTGTTAAGGGTCTGTTTGGGGGTCTTTAAGGGCTTATGGATGGGGGATTAGGGTTTAGGGACTGAGAAGCATGAGGAGTTGTTTTAGGGTGAGTCCTCGCATTACGAGGCCTTTAAGTACAACGTAAAACCTACTGGGCCGGGACTTGAAGTGCTGATTGCATGGTTTGGGGATATAAACTTGTCAGCCGTTTGCTCGGCCTTGCATTCTCTGGTGCCTCTCCCCTTACAACCTCTTTGTGCTTTGTGGTGCTAAAACGGTACTCTAAAACGCAACAGAACGGAATTCAGACCTCATTTGTACAGTCTCCACCCTAAACTACCCTCAACCTTAAACCCTAAACCCCTAACCCCTAAACCCTTTTTGTTGAGCCCCTTCCGGCTGAGAGTGCCAAGCCGGGGATCACCAGCCACTTGCCGTTGCCGGTAGCCCCAGCAGAGTTCTCCCAGCAGAAGTCGGCAACAACCAAGGACCCTGGGCCAGGGTGCTCCCAGAGAGCCCAATACCCCTAAAATGAGGAATATACCTAGAATTATAGAGGCCTTAATATTATGATTTAAGGTATATTCCCTAACTAAGGGGTATTGGGCTCTCTGGGTTCAGAGGGCTCGGAAAGGTTGGGGGCTTAGGAAACAAGGACTCAGCTGCTGTTTTGGGAGGGGGGTTGAAGCGAGAGTTCGGGGGCACGGAGGCAACGAAAATGAACCTAGCGTGCAGATCCTTTTGCATTCACACTTTCCAGTCACAATACGTGGTAGGGTGGACACCGCCACAAATCGCAACATGAAACCGGGGTCCTTCGCGGCGTCTCTGGATGTCTCTGATCTCATGCCTGCCACCATCGGCTGTGTAGGATCCTGCAGACGAGCCGGTAAGGCCCTGCTGGAAGTTCGGAGATGGACACTACAAGGGTTCTATAAGGTACAGGGTTCTATAAGGGTTCTATAAAGGTTCAATGGAAAGCAAACGTAAAAAACTTCACTTCACTTAGACATGAGAGTGGGAATGCAGAGCAATCGAGCCTCGGTGTGAGAGTTGCCGGTGAATGATTATAAGTCCTAGGTTAAATATTGGCACAGCGAGTTTGCTTTGCTAGGTTTCTGATCAGGTGCTACCTCGCAACACTGAGAACGGCCACCAGTGACAGCAAGAAAGAGCCTGCGACAAACTTGCACAGAGGCTCGTACCTACACCGTAGAGGGGTTGGATCTGTGTTTATGGGGCACCGCCGCCTGATGCCCCGCGTAGACGCATGGGAACGAAGATCACGTTGCCTTGGATCCGGGCGATTGGTACAGGGGCGACGCTTGCGCAATGGAGGGGCCTCAATTTCAATAGGGGTTTTGGGATTATAATACACAGCCCAATTCTTCCGACCTCGGTCTTAGGGCAGTTCTTGAGAGTCTCCCTGTGTTGTTTTATAAGATCTTGCGACCTTAGGCTTTTAGATGGCTCTGACACCCGAAGTCGTACCTCTCAGCCGAACAGCCGAAGCGAGGAGATGAAGCCCGACCTTCCTCCCCCTCCTTCTTTGGGGGGCTGAGGCTTCTGAGTCTAGGGTTTTGGGTTTACTCCTTCACGCCAACATGGAATTAAATGGATTAACTGGCTCCTTTCGAGGTCTATAAGTCAAACACACTGGCATGCTGCACTGGCACTCCCTGTGTTCCAAACAAGAACACTCAAACAGACACACACACACACACACACCTTTTGAAATGCGATCCTGAACAGTATCACCCGCCTTAAAGCCTACATCCCTGAACCCTAAATCCCGAAACCCTAAGCTCCAGACACTCTGAAACCCTTAAATTCCAAAAACTCTGAACCCCACCACGCTTACTTTTTAATAAACCCTAAAACCTCTGATCCCCAAAAACTCTGAACCTCACCACACTTACTTTGAAAAAAACCCTAGAACCCCAAACCCCAACAGAAAGCACCAGGATCCCCTGCGCGCGCATACAGATCCCTGGAGCCGCCATACTCGACAACAACCCCTCAAGGTCCCTCCAAGGTAGGGTTTAGGGTTTAGGGGCCACATAGGGTTTAGTAGAATTCTGTTACGGTTTGCTTTGGATTTTCTCTGCAGGTCTAGGCCCACAATTGGTAGCCAAGATATGTGTCCAACTCCAATATCGGCAAGGAGACCGTTCCGGAAGTAGTCGCAGGCACACTCCCACTCCCCGTCGATGGCCTCAGCTTCAGCATGCGCAGAGCACTGCTGGCGGCAGGGATTGAATCTGTCAGAAGCTTCGAGCTTGCGTGGGGGAGAAGCTGCGGCGCATGATATCTTTTGCGCATTCAGGATATGTGGCCTGGCATGGACGGTTGGAGTGTCAGGTGTAGGTTCGCGAACTCATGCGAGCACAGCAAGAGAGTCTCTGATAGCTATCAAGAGTTGGCTGCGCTAGATATCATCAAACGCACCCGAGTTTGGGAAAGCTCCCGCTTCAGAAACTCCTTTCAAGATGCAATCTTGCCCTGCTGCGCTTCGGATGTTGGGCTTCAGCGGCTTGCTGTTGTCATTCTGACAGCCACTCTTGTGGACTCGGCTCCAGCTTCCAACATCTCCGTTGCAGCTTGTTGCGCCATTGTCCTCGCCTTCGCCTTCGCCTTCTCGTGGCATCCCCCCAAGCCGAAGATCAATAGGCTTGCTAGGGATTTCAGATTCGAGGGCTTGGTCTTCAGGTTGCCTGTGGATTTGTGTGACACGCAGAGACGAGGGCCATTTCGGTTCAGAGGGTGACGGTTCCCGATCTCAGGGCACAGGACCTAAAGCTCAGGTCCCCAGAAGACGCATCGCTCTATGAATTTTATAGGGTTTTAGAACTGAACAAAACATGCGGTACGGAAGGAAACCATAAAAAATAACAACAAACCCCCCTGCGCCCTCCCCAACAAAGACAATACTCCTGAACCTTCCTTGCGGTCATGCGGCAGGCAGGGGCATCTCCGGATCCAACCTGAAGCATGCAAGCCCTCATGAACCACTGCTTTCGTAACACTAGGCCCCAGAACCCGAAGAAGACGAAGAGCCCGATTCCCAAAATTGGGGCTTTGATCTGGTGCACAGCCATGGAGTCTTAGAGGGGCTTCCGGGGTTTGGCTGTTCAGGTTTAGGTCCGCTTAGATCGAATCTGAGAGCAAAGTGCGGTACACGATTCTGAGGTGTGTACCTAAAAAGTTTTAGGGTGGAAAGCAACTTGCCTTATCCCGAAACCCTGAATCCTAAGCCATAGTCCCATATACCCGAATCCTGAACCAAAGCTCTACAACTCTAAACCCTGACTCCGAAATTCACTCACGCACTCAGCACAGGGAGTCCGGTCCCGAGCTACAGCCTAAAGGTGAAGAACGCGGCCGCTGTGATCTAGGGTTTAAGTGGCAGCAATGAAACCAAGACAGTGGCTCCTAAATCCGAAATAACCCTGAATCCAGAAGTCTTGAAGTAGAGCCTGAAACGTAAGCATGAGCCCTGAAGCAACCTTATGAGACCTAAACCCTGAATCCTAATACATAATTGTTGAATTCTAAACTCTTGGACCATAAACCCTGTGGCTACCATGGAAGTTTAGGGGAGCTCAGTGTCTGTCGAAGCAATCGACGAAACAAGACTAGAGGCAAGAGCGCATCGGAGCAGGCCAGCAGCACAGCTTCAGCCAATGGCCTGCTGGAGGGCTTCGGGTTGCGGGTGTAGGGTTTAGGAGTCTAGGGTTTAGGGTCTGGGGCTTGGGGTTTAGGGTTTAGGGTTCTGGCGGTTCACATTAAGTCTTGCAGTGCACACATACTTATGGTTGGTTTGGGGTTTCCGGGTCATAGGTCGACGGAACTTTGCTTGTACCGCAGTGGCTGTCGGAGCCCGCGCTCTTCGACACAACCGGTGTAGGCCTCCAGGATACCAGGATAAGCATTTAGCTTCAGACATCGGGTATTGAGCATCGAATCAAACACCAGCATCGGGTGGGGCTCTCTATCTTCAGAATCCCAGGGAGCCAAACCCTCAGGCTTCGAGCCCGAAAGCCATCAATCAGAAGATTCACAACAACCATGGGCATATGCTCGAACTCGTCGTAGAATGGGACCTCCCTGAACCGGAAAGCTCTGAAGGCCCACAAGGCGCCGAAGCTCGTGCTGCATCATGGCTGCATCTGCAGCTGCCGCAGCCCGGAGACGGTCTGGGACACGCGCCTGCCGCGATCAGCTCAGAGGGAGGCTGCTGAAGAGACTTCGTATTCTGCACATCTTTACAAGAATGTATAAGGAGATGTCAAGAAGAGTCTCGAACAGCCACCAGCAATCGGATCATCAAGAGCAGCAGGATTACGAACATGACTATGTGGGGATGACTTCTCACACCGTCCACGTCAAAGTGCCCAGCAAGATTGTGGATGAGGGGCAGGAACCTACATGCAAAGCGACGACCCACCTGCTGCAGAAATGCCAGAAGCTCGCGAACGTTCGGCCATGACATGCTGGCACGCTCCACCTGAAACCAGGCTTGGACTTAAAGGGTTTAGGGGGGATGTGTTCAGGTTTTAATTAGTCCCTTTCTTGATGGGGAACAGTTCCGAAACTGCTTAGGCCTTGTTGTTTTGAGGTTTGCGGTCTGGACAACATATGGCTGCAAGGTCCCGCGCAGCTTCACAAGTTTGGAAATGGAGATGCAATCACCATCGAAGCTAAACCCTAAACCCCCAACAAGACCTGAGCCGGACTACGCATGCACGCACACGCGCACGCGTGTGCACACACACAAACCCTACCTAGACCCCCTCAACTACCCTCTACTATACCGCAAATACCCAGCACCAAGGACCGTAAGGGCTCAAAAAAGGCCGGGTCCTGGTATAAAAAGGAGCCCTAAATCCTAAACCCGAAACCCTACATCCTAAACCCTACATCCTAAACCCTAAATCCTAACCCTATAAACCCCAGGAAGCCCTTTGAAGCTGCTCCGCGGCCTCTGCCTGAGTGCCGGGCACCAGCCGAGCCGGAAGCGTTTTGCCGGGGCCCCCGAGTGCCTGCGCAGTTGGAACGGGCATGGTTTAGAGTTTATGGGGTTTAGGGTTT